TGTAGGGAAGGGATGCATCAACCCAGAGGAACAGGACTGAGGACCCCAAAGCCACCATGGCAGCTAAGGCAGAGCCCAGGCACCAGGATTCATTAGACTAGCAGCAATCCCCACCCTCCACCGCACCAACATTTGGTCCTCCTCCAGGACACAGCTCTTCCAAGAGGGGCTGGAGCTAGGAGACGTCCTCAGGATCCTGGGCTGTTGGGCATTCCCACGTGGACACATCACAGGAACAACCCACTCACCAAGATACTCTTGTACATGTTGCCATTGTCCACAGCCAGGCTGACACGGATGATACAGCAATCGTCAATCTGCTGGTTGTAGAGGGGCAGTGAGAGGGAGGAGTAGCTGGAGATCCCCGAGACGGAGCGCTTGTGGGTGCGTGATGCCGTCACCGGCGTGGAGGAGACCGAGGAGGAGGAGGCGCTGCTGGAGCCTGAGCCAATCCCAGATGTGTCCAGTGAGGACAGAGAGGTGGATTCCCAGAACTGAGGGGAAGAGGCAGACGTGCAATAGCTTTCAGCCTCTTGATCCATGAGATGGGGGATCCCAGCAATGTCCCCTAGGGGCTGGGAAGGGAGCAGGGGGGCAGAGCCGGGGCAGGGGGTTCTGTAACTGAAGAGGCAGTTACAACAATGGAGTGGGAGGAGAAAGTGCCCGAGGACATGGAGAGAATCCCAACCGGAGCCACGGATGGAGATGGGAAGGCAGAGGGGTCTGGGGCTCCCGCAACTTAGACCCAACCTTTAAGGGGACAATGCAGGGGCCCACCCCGCCCCACCCCACCTCCAAACTGAAGGCAGAGATGCCACCCCCATGCCCTGGGCGCACCTGCCTCCTGCTGCCCTGGGCGCGGGGAGAGCCCGGCGAGCTGCCCCGTACCTTCTTCTCCTGGCAGTCGGGGGACTCGGGGATGAAGCTGATGTTGATCTCTTCCACGTCAGAGCTGCTGGAGCCGGCGGAGGTGACGCTGAGTGAGTCAGTGGTGTCCCCGCTGCACAGGTACTGCCCGCACTTGAGCTGGTCAAAGGACTTGGAGTGGGAGCTGCCACTGGCGCAGGGCTCGGCGCTTGGCGGCTGCCGACTATCAGAGAAGAGAGAGGCCCTGGATGACCATGCTGGCGTGTCAAGCAGCCAAGGGACCCAGTCAGCTCGCTACCCAACAACCCAGGTCCAGGTCCCATGGCTCAAAAAGGAGACATCTGTGGGCAGCGAGACCCCTGGCCTGGCTGGATTCCAGCCTGCTCCATTGCATTCTGCAATAGCGAGCCCTCACACAGCTGCACCGATGCCCCCTGATGTGACCTGCAGGCCTCGTCTATTCTAATCCTATGCCCCCTCTGTAATGCTGCACTCGTGGACCTCGCTTCTGCCTTCACCCCGCAGCGACAGCCTCCTGGTGGCTCTGTCAGCTCTCCTCTGTCTAGACCGGCCACACGCAAGCACCCCAGGGACAGGGGAGACTCACTCGCTCCATCGCTTTATGATGCCCGTGTTTTTCTTTGCCTTCAACGTGTTGCTGGCTGACTCAGACAAGGGCTCGATCTCACATGAGAGCCCATAGCTGGGAAGGGAGAGAACAGACAGTCAGCTTGGCTGCAGCCTGAGGTAAAGCCCATGTGTTTGGGCTGGGCTTGCACCCCTCCTCCCCCCCATGACCACTGTGTGAGCAGTGCAGAGAAGGCACCCCCAAAGCGAGAAGGAATGGATCGGCCTCAGTCTGCAGGATTAGGGTGACCACAGGTTTCTGGCAGGGCTAAGTCTGGGTATACAAGGCAGGGGGCTGCCCAGGTCCCAAGGTTAGGTGTCAGCCCCCAGGCAAGAAGGAAGGTCTAGTTGCTTAGGCAGCCCCTAGTCTGAGGGCTCAGCCCACACCCTTCACCAGTGTCACATTGTCCTGATGAACAGAAGCTTGGGAAGCAAGTGGAGACTGCCCAGGGCCTTATATGCACTGAGGGGAAGGGGCTACAGGCCCCAAGGCCTTGGTAGCAACTTGTAAGAGGTTTGAGTTTGAAGGAGCCAGCAAAGCAGGGCAGCTCAGCCATGCTCCCATCCCACAGCAGTGTGGAACGAGGGGAGTCCTCAGAGAGGCCCTAGGACCGAAGCATCTGGCTTGGGCTCACCTCTCGGCTTCGCTGAGCCTCTCCACGCCGTGGAACCACTCTACGAACCGGTCCTCCTGCGTGAAGCTGTAGTTGTTGCAGGCCGACTGCAGCAGCTTGATCTGGGCAATGACTTCGAACTCCTGTGAGCAAGAGAGGCAGGGAGACTGAGTGAGGCCCGGCTCCCACTCACCTTGCCCTGGCCAGACCTCCCCAACCCGAGCCCTCTCACTTTCAGACCAGTCCTGAGGGCCATGTGTGGGAATGACCTTAACTGAGCAGCTCAGAGCTCAGTGCTCCAAGCTGCAGGACAAGAGAGGGCTAGAGCTAAGACAAGAGGGGAACCAGCCCCAATTGAACTGGAGTGGGGACTCTGGGTACCAGGGGGCATCCAGCCAGCCCCATCATCTGCCTCACTGTGCAAAGTCTGAACGTGACAAGCACTCACCTTCCTTCTCTTCTCGAAGTTGATCAAGCCTCCCTGAAAGAAAGAAGTCAAAGGAACGTTACAGCAAACCAAGCATGGGAAGTCCCTATCCCACAGCCTGGCATGGATCATGCAATGAAGCGAGCCTCCGCCAGGGGACAGTGTCAGCACAGCAATGTATCCCTACATGCCTATGGGTAGGGGAGCCAACAGGGTCCAACTACATTTTAGCCAATTCCTGGGAGCTTCAGGGCTCTGGAAGGAGAATGAGATTAGGAGAGCACACGGCAGGGTACGTACATCCAAGAAATCCTTCATGGCGGTATCAAGCATCACCAAGTCTGTGAGGAAGGTGCCCAGGTAGGGGATGGTGCCCTGCATCACACCCTGCAAGAGGAGAACAAGGGTCAGCTGGAGAAGCCTGGTCACAGCCCCTACAAGGACACTGGGAGCCCAGAGGGCAGTGGTGCCCAACTCACCATCTCTCTTTGCTGCTGCTGGCGCTTCTGGGCCCTCTTGGGGTTGATCTCCAGGGTGGCAAACTTGGACGTCCCTTCCTGGATTTGTGGGAAGGAGAGAGGTTGGCTCATCACTAACACTCGCTAATGCAAGAGGCTCCCGTGGATTACAAACTCCAGCCTCTTGGACTTCGCGCCGTGCTTACTGGCACTCGCACTGCACCCCAGGGTGGGTTGGGAGTGCAGCAGCCCCATGCAGGCAGGAATGGATGCGGGGGCCCTGCCAGCTTGAGGGCCTGTCCACACAGGGCACCTTGCTGGTCACCGTGATATAACTGGTGCTGGGATATAGGTACACTCTCTGGGGGCGGAGCGAGCAGCTTTTTCTGTCTGAGCCTAAACGTGCCCTTAGTGTGAGCTCTATTCCTGACCCTGCCACTGACCTATGGGGTAAGGCTGACTGAGCCACGGGCTTCTCTGCTCTTGGGTCAAGTCAAGCGGCAGCACAGCTCCTCCTTTGGAAAGAGCTCTGAGATGTCATGGGAAGTTCCCCGTGAGACCCGGTATTAACCGCCTACAAGTCATGAGCTGAACTGGAAAAAGGGCATGTTACACTGGAGTCAGAGTGCTCTCACAGGGACTCATGCCCTGGCTGTCATTCACAGCCTGTCCGTCGGTGCGACTCTCCTAAGCCAACAACCCTTCAGTGTCCTAATGGAGAAAGGGATGATCGAGGCTGAGCGCTGGCACTAGCACCACAGGCAGCTTCTCTTGGGAAGGCCATGCTGCCTTCCCTGGCTCCGTGCATCAATACAGCAACAGGAGGGTTTGTTCCCTGTTGGATTTGATGCTCCCAGCCCAATCAGCGCTCGGATGAAACGGCCATGTGAGTGCTTCCAGGGACAGACAAATGTTCCTGCAGCCGCTGGCAGCCCGAACCATGTACAGGCTCCAAGAGGGACTGAGAATCTCTGGGACCCAGAGGAGCTTTTCCTACAGGCTAAAAAGCAGCCATCTCCAGAGGGGAGCTGGCAAGGGTGGCACAGCATCATGCATGGCAGCACAGACATCCTTTGCATTTGAGCCTGTGGCTTCTGGCAACCTGGTGATGCCAAGACTCCAGCATGAACAATCCCTATGTGGTTCAAGAATGAACAGGCTCCAGTCCACCTCATAAACCAGGGCACCCTAACACAGCACAACACCACGGGCATCAGCAGGGCTGCTCCTGAATCATGCTGGCGGCCATGAGAGCAGAATCAGGCCCAGAAGAGAGATCTGCACGTGTGTCATTCCAGCAGCCCCCAAGCCAGCTATTTCCTTTGTGGGGTAGGTGCCAGGAGTGACTGCTCTATTTTGGCTCCAGCCACTGGATTCACAAGATCCCACAGCCAGTTTCTGAGACACTTAAAACCTCACGTTTGTTCATAGGGAGAGAGATAATGAGAAGCAAGCCGAGAGCCTGTCCAGGTCTCCATGCCACAGCCTGCATCTGGCCTGGCCTTGCAGGGGGAGAGCACCACTATCTCTGTGCCAGAGATAAGGGATGGGGAGGGAATCCCTGTCCGGATGCACCCTCCCCCCTTATCTTCTGCCTTCACTGGGGATTTCTTTGTTGCCAGTGCCCAGCCCAAGCTTGAATGGAGCAATGTGCAACACAGCAGGTTGCCTCGGTCACTGCTTAGCTGAAAATCATGAAGGCAGGCAACACAGCACCACTGAGGAGTTGCACGTACAGCAACTCCAGAGCCGGCCCGTAAGTAAACAGTCTCTGCTCATCCCGCGAAACAAGCCAGGAGGAATTTCGGAAGCCTCCTGGCCCTGTCTCCCTTGGTCCAGGGTGGTGGAAATGGCCTGTTTTAGACAGGTCTGGCTGCCTATCCCCAAGCCCTTGCTGGAGGCTGCAAGGCTGTAGGGTCTTTGGGGCAAACCTTTGCTTGGGTTTACAGGACACACTCCTGGTCTGTTCCCCATGGGCAGAGGGTGTGTAAACAGCTCAGCTTTAAATAATTCAAACCAGGACCCGATCTGGTTTGGTTGGGCACATACTCAGCCTGAGGCACACATCTGTCAGCATCTATATGGGCAAGCAGAGTGTGTGTGAGTGCTGGTGAACAGGAGGCACGCCCTGAAGCCTCTCTAAGACCTCGAGCAGCTCGTGGTATACACTGCTACAGGACTCCCTGCCCCGCTGCAACCTCCTCCCTGCGAGCCTGGAGTTGGAGCCCACGGTCAGCAGTGACGCGGGATGCTGGGGGATGAAAGCAGCAGGTGGAACAAGCTAGGACAAATTTTGATGGAGCTCCTCGTACCTTGATGAGAAGCTCCCGGCTCAGCGAGTGGTTGTTCTCGTCAGAGAAGATTTCCGATAGCTCATGAAATGTGCGGAAGCTCTCCCTGCTCACAGAGAAACAAGGAGGCATTAGTAACGGTCCCCCCTCTCTGCCTCCTGGTTGGGACAACCCCCACCCTTGCACTTCTCTATGCCCCCTCTTAGGGCAGCATTCATTAACCCCCGATGCTGCTGTCAGACTAAAGCCCCACCTTGTTCCTCCAATACCCACTTTTTTGCCTGAGCCCAGCCCCACCGACTGAGCTGCCTCCCCTCCCCTCCCCACTCCTGAGTAATACAGGAGATTTTCCCAGCATACACAAGGAACACGTCTCTTTCCCGCTGGCTGGTGGATTTGCTGACACTGCAAGACATTCTTCTCAGGCTGGCTGGGCCCCTCAAGGGCACACAGCTCTTCATGGCATCACTGGGTAGCACTGGTGGAGCTTCTTCATGTTATATCCACACTAGCAGGATACTTCTGCTATTTCACCCTGGACCCTGGCTCTTGGACATGCTCCATGACACAGGGCTAGAGCTAGCAAGGTCACCCAGGCCACATTCATGCTACCAGGGGACCCCACTACTACAGGGCAGCCCTGTGACATGAGTCCTATGTGAGGCAGAGGGGAGCTGCCTATTCTGCAGCAACAGCTGGACCCCAGGGGGCTCTGCTCACCGTGACACTTCATCCCAGGTCTTCTTCAGTCTGTGCACGGCGTTGTACTGCAAGGCAGAGAGGATGGCACGGAGAGAGGAGAAATTCTTCAGGATGCGGCACTCCTGGGGGGGGACACAAGCCAGTGGCAGGGCTGGATGTTAGTTGGAGATGGCGCACAAAAAGGATTATCAACTCCCCCTTGGGCAATGGGGACAGGAGGGCCAGATCCTCAGCTCACTCAATCCATGCCACCCCACTGACAGCAGAGACACGCTGCTGTCCACCAACGGTGGCTCTGCCCATAGCACTTCCCAGCCCCCTTCAGCCTACCCGCTCCTGGCCCACCTCTGCCAGGTCGCTCATACCCCCATCTGGGATAGGAGGTCATTTAAAACAGATTAATGGGTGACTGGGGCTGCGCAGGCTTGGGGAAGCTGAGGCATAGATAGAAGAGGCCTGCCCAGGTCCCCTGGACTGACCTGGGACAACAGAGTGAGCCAGTGGCAGGACAGATGTGCTGACCTCTGTCAGCACATCTGTCCTGCCTGTCTGTTAAAACGCAAGGCTCTGCACTGCAAAGTGGAGCCCTAAACCAGTGGTTCTCAACCTTTTTGTACCAGGTCCCATTTGTAAACATTGATGGCCAGTCCTGACCTAGTGGCCCACACTCCTGACCTGCTGCTCCCCCCAGCTCCCCAGTGTGTGGGGCATAGGGGGCCACAAGCAGCCCCAAGCAGGCCCTTGCAGGCTGGAACTCTGCCAGTCTGCAAGGGAAAACCCACGGTTTCCCGTGTTTTTCCCTTTTAAAGGAGAACCCATTTTTAAAGTTTGTTTGTGACCCTTTCATATATTCTTACGACCCACTTTTGGGTCGCACCCCATGGGTTGAGCAATGCTGCCCTAGACCATAGTGCTGCAAAAACCTCCCACCAACAACCAGGGACAACCTCCTGGGGCCAGTTTCATTTACCCGAGCCACCTCGATCCACCGCTCCACCACTTTGGCTCTCTGCTGTGGCTTGAGGGACCGGTCCCCGAGGCACATGGCGATGACGCAGTTGGTGACTCTGTTGAACTGGGAGACGGTGGCCCGAATGGTGGGTGCCAGGTGCTCTTTGCCCTTCTTGTCACGCTGTGACCAGATGCAGCCCAGGCAGTGGTACGGCACCACTTTCTTAAACAGCTCCTGGAAGAGGAAAGGACGGAGATGGGTTTGTCTGGGGATGTCTGAGAAGGCAACGGGGGAAGCAGGAGGAGATGTGGGGAGCAAGGGGGAAAGACAGTGAAAGGCCGAGGCAGACTGGCAGGCAGCACGTGGGCTGGGCACAAGCATGTGGCCAGAAAGCAATCAATGCCTATAGCCAGACCAATACTCACAGCATCCATCAGCGTGAACTGCTCGGCTACCATCTCTGGGGAGAAGGAGAGGAAGTCTGGCTTGCCCTCCCCCAGCCCGTTCTCCTCCACGATCTGGAAGGTGCAGCTGGTGTGGTCCACGGCTGCAAGACACGGGGGGCAAAACTAAGAATGACCTGCAAACCCCCTGCCCCTTGCTATACTGCACGCCCCCTTGCTCCCCACCTTGCTATACTGCATGCCCCCTTGCCTCCCCGTTATACTGCATGCCCCCTTGCCCCCTCGCTATACTGCACGCCCCCTTGCCCTCCCCCCATCCCTGCTAGCTCTCCCACACCCCAAGTGCTCCTCTTGCACGTGTGCCCAGGCCACCCCCGCTCCCATGTGCAGGCACACATACACCCACACACATCCCACACACACTGGCAGAGCAGATGGAGGCGCCCACACATCACGTTTCTGCAAGGAATGCCACCCTCCTGGGGGGGATCTGGTTCTGAAGAGGCTACCTTAGACGCTCATTTGTCACCTGAACTTGCCTGCAGCCCCTGCTGTGGGACAGCGAGGGGTCTGAGGGCCTGATGAGGGCAGGGAAAGACAGATCAGACCTCACTGATATGGGAAGACTAATCCAGATTAACTACAAGGAGGACTGGTAGCTAGCTAGTTCACCTGCCCAAACCCCCTGCATCAGCCCTCACGTTCAGAACCAAAGCATCCTTAATCCACTTCAGCCTAATTTGCCTTTAACTGTGCAGCAGGTTTTGTTCAGCCCTGGCAATCCCTCAGGCACTCGCCCTCCTTTCTCCATTCATGTCCCTGCCACAGGGGGTCTTTGCAGGCAGCTCTCCACACCTGAGACCCTGGGGAAGCCCAAGATCCACCTCCCCCATACAGAGCAGGAGGGGGCACCAGGTGTGGGGAGGAAGCACTGCTCACCTTCGGCCTCCGCCTCGCTGCGCTCCTGCTGCTGGAACTGGGCCAGCAGGATCCGTGCTCGACGCTCCAGGTCCGACCCAGGGATGTTATGGCGTACATAGGAGATGAGCTGCTTGAGGCAGGCATAGTCGGGGGGCTTCCGGAAGTCCTCTGAGTACTGATCCAGCCAGGCACCCAGGATGGAGGAGATGGTGCTGGGGGTGGGGGAGCACATAGAGAGGCAAGCATGAGTGCCAGGGATGCAGGAAGCAGCCACACGCAAGTAGGCAGACCCAGCCTCTGCGAGCCTGCACGTGTTGATATCCCAGCCACTCTCCACCATGGGTACAATCACCCTGTGAAACTTGCTGCTGCAGGGCACGGCAGCGGCAAACAGCTCAGCCAGTTTCAAGAAAGGGGAAGGAACATGGCCTATACACACGCGATCAGGGCAGGACGCCCGAAGCTGACTCCTGGCTGCTTTTGGGGACCCGCCCAATCCAGAACCATGTCTAAACACTGGCCAGGCTCAGCTCAGGGCCATCCTGCCTACACATCCAATCCCACTGCAGAGGGCAAGACCTGGCACATGCGTGGCTTTGTCACCTGGGGAAGGCTGCACCTGCCCTGAACCAGCTCGGGGAGTGCCCGCCAGCCCAGCTCCCCAAAGACGCTTCAGGAGCAGCCTGGGTGGAGTGGTAGCAGATACACTCACTTTTTCAGCTCCAGCCGCTCATCTACAGCATGTCTGGCATGGTCCCCGTTGGCCTGCGGGTGGAGTTTGCCGTACCTGGAGGGGCATGACAGGGCAGTTCAAGCCACATCCTTGCTTTGCACACACACTCCTTGGCAGCCCTCTCTCAGACATCAAAGCCTAGAGCAACAGCCCCAGGGGACAGAAAGCAATTCTTCCTCCCAGCATTAACCCACGCACAACTGACCAGACGCATTATGAGAGCAGGGCCATGACCAGATGCAGGAAAGCAGACAGACAGCACCTGGTTCACTCTGGGACTGCCTTGTGTTATCTCCATACTGGACGAGGCTGACTGGCCCTTGGGAAGTGGCTGTGCAGAGCACAGCCTGGGCTGCAATCCCTCCTCTGCACTACGAGCCTCCTCGTCCACAAGCCCTGCGCTCCCCCACCCACCCACCACCACTCGGATTCCAGGCATAGCACAATGCCGAGACAATCCCTAGGACAGCCAGAACCTCCTGAAGCACAAGAGCGAGACACGTGCTCCCTGGTATGTGCTCCCACGAACACTGCCCCATTGTTCAAAGGCCCAGCAAATGCACTGGGGAGGCACGAGGAGATAGAGAAGTGGAGGAGAGCCGGAGGGGGAGGGGTGAGCCAGACGCTCCAGCTGCAGAGCGAAGGGGGATTTGCTAAAGGGCTCAAGGCAGAGAAGCCAAAGTCTCCGAGCTCATAGGGGCTGGCCCCACCCTTATTTCCTGTTATATGCATTATGCTCCATCTCCCCTGGGCACAGAAGGATCGGCAGCAGCAAGGCTGGCAGAAGGGAGGGCTCTGGGACATGCGGGACAGCAGAGGTTCCTCCCCTATCCGAGATGTCACCCTCTGCCTTGCTTGGAGATGCGGCCATGTGGGCCAGTCCAGCACTGCAGAAGCCCTCCCTACCCCACCAGCAAGTAGCCTGCTCGCTTGGGCTACACGCGAGGAGCCAGCCCAGCCAGACTGAGGAAGTTTGGAGGCTGGATAGGGGCACGAGGAGCCCCCACAGGGGAGGTGGGAGGACGAACTCTGGTCCAAATTGGGAGTGACCCAGTGACAGCCATGACAGGGCTAGAAGAGAAGAGAGGATGTAGATCCTTTTGAAAGAATACGTGCACTGTTCATGAGAACTTGAGGGTGGGTAGGGTACCGACCCCCTGGCATGCCCCCAGCCTCCAACCCCTCAAAGCGCATCAGAGGCGAGGGGCAGCATCACCTGTTGAGCAGCAGGTCCAGCACTTGCTTGGTGGTGGCAAAGGCTCGGTAAGTGCACAGGAAGATGGTGACGTAGGTGGAGTCATTGCCCTTGAAAGCCGAGACCAGATACTCCACCAGCTTCTCCAGGGTCCCGGCTTTTATGGTCCGCACCTTACACGTCTCGTAGAGGTTTAAGGCCGATTCGTTCTCGAACTGCAAAGCAGGGAGGAGGAGACATGTCAGGCTGGGGGTGAGACAGACCAATGCAAGCACAGGCCAGAAGCACTGGTGTCCAGAGGGGCACACACATGGAGCTACAACAGGACCAGTCCCAGGGCACTTCTCCCTAAAGCTGTTGTCCCAAGCATGGCATCATGGAGCTGGGGGATAGCCCAGCCATCAGATGCCCAGTGCCGTTCCTAGAGATGTCACTCCCAAGCAGGAGGCTGGAAGGCCCTTTGCAGCCGCCACAGGACTGTTGAGAACCTGCCCCTACATGCAGCATCTGCATGAAGAGCTGCACTTTTGCCTCTCCCTGGGCAGGGCTCCTCTCCGGGGGACAAAGCCAGCCCCCAGGCACGACCAGGGAATTCTTGGCTCCCAGCCCCATGCTCTATTGATGGAGCCATTTGGGACTAAATACAGCTTGTTCAGCATGCCCGTGGCAACCCTAACTCCCTGCCCCTGGGTCCCCACTGCCCCTGTGCTCAGAGGGCTGCCATGCTGCAGCACCCCAGCTCATCCCCCAGGCTTGGCTCAGACCCACCCAGCACAAGTGGGTCCAGGAAGCAGAGAAAAGTTGCAGAAAACCCACTCACTCCAGGAAGCAGAGAAAAGTTGCAGAAAACCCACTCACTCCAGGAAGCAGAGAAAAGTTGCAGAAAAGGAAAGAAATAAAAGGAGGGGAAAGAAAAATAGAGTGCAGGAAGCCCCGTGACCACTGCATGGCCCCTCTTCCCTTCCAGTCACTGCAAACCCCAAAGCTCCCACATCTCCCACATCAGCCAGACACGTCCCTCCTCGGGCAGTTCGGAAAACCAGGCGTGGAGCCATCAGGGCTCTGGGATCCTTCGCTCTGCTGTGCTCCTTGCCTGTCCAGGCAGACGCGGGAATGCGATGGAGTCAGACAGCCGGAAAACTCATCCCCAACACTGCATTCCTGTGGGCTGGCCGCCCACCTCCGCCTCCCACCCCAGGCCTGCCCTGCTGTTTCCAGCACAGCAGAAGAGGCTTTTCTGTGGGCTCTATGAGGCTGAAGGTAAAAGGGTCTTAATCCCTCTGAGATGGGGAGAAGGGGCAGTCTTAACTCTGCCCTTTCTGGGGAACAGAAAGGGCCAAGGCTTGAGGAAAACTGAGCAGCCTTGTGTCCCATGGAAACTGGGGAATCCAGCACCTCCCAGAAGACCCCTGCCCTACCCCAGTCTGCTTTCCATTCCCTTCCTGCTTTGCAAGAAAGGGGAATTCCTCTCCTCTGACCCCACAGCCTATGGCCAGCACTCTCTCCCTTCCTGCTACAGCCCGGGGTCAGGTCAGGATCAGGAGCTCTGTAGAAGAACCCAACATAGGGATGCTCCCCCATGGATGGCTCAAGGATGGAGCAGGTGGGCTGGGCACCCAGGCACGGTGTATTGAGCCTGCCTGTCTGGGCCCCCAAACCCTAGAGCTATTCTCCCCCTGCACTGGCTAGTGTCGGACACCTCTGCCTCCAGCAGCCACATTCCCAAGTCAAGCTCCCACCGCACGCCCTGTGACCCAGGCCACACAACACAGTGAGAGAGGCCACAGAGCGCTGGTTACAGGCCGGGCAATGGCAAGGATGAACGTCTTTGCCAGCTGCCACAGGCAGCAGAATCGCTCCGGGAGAGCTCAGTGGGGAGGGCTGTGGGGGGAAAAAACAACGGGAAGTTTGGCCCAGCGCCCCTGCCCTGCTTACCCCCAGCCATCGCTGCCCCTTGTTGGCTGTGTGATGGAGCTGCACCTTCCGGAGGGATATGCTGTAAATCACGCCGTCTTCCTGCTCTTCCCCGATCTCCTGCGTGGAGCTCTGCAACGCAGGGAGACAAGCAGAGAGTCATTTCCATGAAGCAGGGGAGGGGGGACCCAGCCCCAGCCCTGCTCTTGTCCCCCGAGAGGAAGTGGCCAGGGCTCAGAGAGGTGACAGGGTTTGCATATTTGCAGGTACATGCACAAATTAGATTACATCATTCCTCGTGGGCGGGTGGACACCGTGCGGCGAGGAAGCTCGTCTCAGTAGGAACCACTCCCCCTTATCAGTGAACACCACAACACCCCACAGCAGCGCAGGGAGGTGCCAGGAGAGTCAGCCCACTCCCGACTGCTCTGCCTCCCTACGCCTTGTCCAAACACACACTGTGCACCAGCCAGAGATGGGGGGTGAGTGCCTGAAACCCTGCATTCAACCTCTTTGGAAAGCCTGGCCCCATAGCATTGTAACTCCCACACTGAGCTTCGGTGCTCAGCCGCTTTGTAAGCCAGGCCCAGCTATGCAGAAGGAGCTGGCGTTCAGAGCAAGGACCCCATGCCCAGCAGCTAACGCTTGCTCTGCTGGCAGCCAGGAAGGCAAGGCTCCCTGGTGGGTTTTACCCAGGGACCTGGAGCTGACACAACGTGGACTCGTTCCACCCACTATAGCACCCACTCCCACTCTCTCCTGAGCCCCTGCCCTCTCCGGGGGTGGCACCACAATCCCAAGTCCCTTTGGCAATCTGCACTCCAAGGATCGCACGCGAGGAATGCGGCCGTTGTTATCTCACTGCTCGGCAGTGTCATCATTGCTTACGTAACACGTAACAGCAGCGAAACCGAGCCACCGGCCAGCCCGGGACAGCAACCTGTATCGGGTACCATGCTCAAGAGGCTGACTCAGTTTGGGAAGCTCGGAGATAGGGAGAGCCCGGAAAATGGCCTGCGGGTGTGACAGTCCTGGATACAAAAAGTGCAAGGAAAGCTCCCAGAGGAGGGGACTGATTTAGTTGCGGTGGGTCATGTGGGGAGGCAGTGAATGCAACACACCTCTTACAGATTCACGTCACAGGGTCTGGCATAACTCACTCATGTGCCCATCACCACAGCATATAGGCATCTATGTGCTGATACCGGTTTCTCTCTCTCTAGCAGCATCTACAGAGCTCAAAAGCACTCTGCAAGCGTGACTGTGGATCCATGCACAACATAAAACCCACCCTGTGCTATTATCCTCATCCGCACAAATGGGAAATACTGCCCTTCGTTTTTCAGTGCCCAGACATTTGGGGCACCTAACGCCAGGGTTCCTGGGCCTGGTGTTGAGGTGCAGAGCACCCACAGCTCCAGCTGAGGTCCAGAGGAACCACGGATGTTTCTAAAAGTCAAGCTTCAGTTTGTTCAAGCTGAACACCCCAAATCAGAGGGCACGTCGGAAGCACAGACCTAAATGGGCCCTTCAGGCTGGTTACGGCACGGCTGGGAGTCAACCCGCCTCGTCCACACTACAAGTCTTTGTTCAGGAGGCCATCTCCTCCCACAAAGAGAAGCTTTCTCACTTGGGATTCGGGAGTTTTGGCTATAGGGTGATGGTTTGGGCAGCTCTGAAGGCTGCTGTATGTGCTTGTCCAAACCGCCTCTGTCTGGCAAAGTTGGCATACGTGCCAGGCAATGACGCTGCAGATCAGCAATGGTAAGTCAGTTCCATTCCCCACGGCGACTCCTCAGCTACAGCCCTACAGCACCATTTGCTGAGTCAAAGGCTCCCTCTAAGAGGATTAATCCAGATCCTCTTAAGCCCTGGGGGGCTCTAGCCCTTCCTCTGCACCAAAAAAGCAAACCATGTTGGCACAGCACACACTAACCCCACGCTCACCGTATGGAGGCAACGCCTGACAGCAGGACCCAGCTGAGCCTGCTAGCTTAGAGACGGTGAGATGCCGCATGTGGGGGCTTGGAGATTCTCTCCGGGCAACCCATGGCTTTTCCCTTCAAAGTGCAGCTACATCTTTGAGATGGAGGAAGCAACTAGGGGAAACCGTGGCTGGTAAGAGCCCTCCAATGGGTCCATGGGGCAACTCCAGAGATGGGACTGGCCTAGGTAGACACTGCATCTGGGTTGGTAGCCTGGCTAGCACGTGGGTGTGCGTGTGCAAGCACACGTGCACACAGTTCCTGCATGCTACCCTGGGGACCCCTTGCTCCCTTGTTTATCTAACCCGGGCCAGCTGCTCGCCTTCGTGCCTTCTGCAGGGGATACACACACCTGAGGCGACGCCAGGGTCAAGCACGCGCTAAGCAAACAGACTGGCCCCAGCCCTCTGGGCGGCTGCCAGCTCCGGCAGCAGCCTGCGAGGCGCTCTTGGCCTGGATCCCAGCTGCCAGCTGGGACGCTGGGCGAGTCAGAAAGCTCTGAGAACCTGTTGCCCAGGAGAAGGAGATACCTTGTGCTGCTACAGAAACCAAAGCAGCAGGGAGGAAAGCCTTGCGGGACTGTTCTCCGCAGGAGCAGGCCCCCACGTGGAAGCTTGCCCTCCTACTCAGACATACGCCCATCCCAGCTGAGCAACGAACGCTGCCTGGTTTTGACCCAAACCCTGGACTGGGGATGAAATGACACTAGCATCTCCAACCAGAGGCCAAGGAGGCCTGCAACCACTTTCACAGCCCCTCCCAAAGCAGTTATTGGGCCCATGTCCTCCCCCAGACAGGTAACACCAGGAACTGCTGAGGAAGCAACCCCACCCCAGAAGGAAACTATCCAACCGCACCATGATGGACTCACGTGGCAGCATTTCACAGGGCTTCCTGCGTAGCCACTGTAATCTCAACTTCAGAGTGCATCTGGGTCTCCTCGCTACACCAATTCAGGCCTGGTGTTAACTGGGTTACTCCACTTTTATGGCCTGATCCCCTGAGAGGCTGAGTAGCTCCCAGCACAAGGAAACAAGAGCGGGAGGTGCTCGGTACCTCTCCGGATCCGGCCCGCAGCATAACTCGGGACTGCAAAGTGGCAATGCAGAAATCTGAATGCTCAGCAGGCATGAATGAAACAACCCCACACACCAAGTGTCACACCAGCAAGTACAGACTTTCCGCGGCTTGACCCATGAATCAGCACCACCGCGCAGCTGGAATGGAAAGTACTGGAGCGGTTTTGCAATGGGCACAGCTCTTGCAGTTGGTGTCACATGCAGAGGGAATGCCCTGCTTTGCTGCTCAGATGACCAAACTCCATTTCCTTCCTACTTCCAAGACTGTACGATTCATTCATTCATTCATACTTTTTTTTGCTGACCTAGACAACACTCACAAATTCTCTGTTCACAGATCACGCCCAAAGAGTACAGATTTCCAGCAGGCTCACACCAAAGACTCCAGGAGTTGCTAGGGTTGGGTCTTTTTCAAATTTGCTTATTCTCGGCATCGACTTCCTCTTTATTTCCCTTTTTTCCCCTGCTGATTGTGTGTTGTATATGTGTTAATTAAAAAAAAAAATTACGGAAGCAAAATCAAGCAGAGACATAGAGGAGCTAAGGCCCCACTTTGACACCCGCAGCACTATTTCTCCATGGAGGTTTCTGTCCCTCCACTGTTGCAGGCCGGGGACAGGAGGCTGGACCGCGAGAGGAAAGAATCAGCCATCAGAACAGATTGCTAAGAGCCAAGAGCCTCCAAAAACATATCCCAGTACTCCTACAACCTCTTCCCCAGGTAGCCGTGAATTTTGAGTGTCTCAAATGTTTTGACACTTTCTGCTTGAACATGGCAGCCCCAAGTGACCTCAAACGGAAGAGCTCAGCGTTTGGGAAAATAAACCCCAAGGAGGAGAACCAGAGGGAGGCACTGCGAATCGCTGCTCACCTTGGAAGCGCTTGGTCACAGCACATCTAAGTTTAGCGTATGATCCTCTGCTCTAATCACTGCAGGGTCTCAGATTTGGGGGCAGGCAGAAAGCAACATTTGCTTAATGAGGAGGGGAGTTAGAGTGCTGTAAGAAATGGCCACTGCTCAGGAGTGTGTAGCCAGGGCTATAACAATGATAGCAGAAACACCATGCTTCCCTTCTTCTTCAAATGAAGCTGAAAAAATATTTCCCAATTATACAATTCCAGTGGAAACAGTTTAAAAGCAAGCGCTTTCCTGCAGTTTTTGCAACCAAGAGATTGCAACAGGATGGAAAGCAGAGAAATTGCCTGAAGAGCAAAAGTGAAACTTTGTCTGTGTCTGAACTAGAGAAAGATTTAAAAGCAAACACAAAAGAAATCTCAAAGCTTGAGCCAAGACACAGCGTTGGGCAATCTGGGTTTTTCGTACCAGTTTGCAAGAAATCGCCGACCGTGGCATTTGAACAGCTAGAGAGGAAGAATAGGATTTAACCGTGTGCATGACAGGGATGTTGCACATTAGGTACAACCAATTAAACAGACTCTCAGGGCTTAAGAGCTCCACTTCCATGGCCATCAGTTATCGTGGTACGCTCAGTAAGTACCAACACAGAACTCTTATTAGAAAAGGTATTAGCTTGCAACACGCGCAGAGGAGACGGCGGAGCGGTCTTCACCAATGCATCCTAGTCACGAGCTGTGTTAAATACGAATGTTTTGCATTTCTCTAACACCTCCCGGATGGGGATTCAAAATGCTTTACAAGCTTCACTGAACCGGGCCCAGCACCACTCCCCAGGAGACAGCATCATCCGTTTTAGAGATGGACAGTGTCATTACCGTGCCAGGGTATTTTTGGATCTGTAATTCCCAGCGAGGGCTGCTGCAATGGTTCAGGCTGCTGCACTAAGAGCAGGTGTGTTTGCTGCTGGGCTCTAGGAACGCAGGGCTGGAAGGGGCTACCCTGGGCTTAGTCACTAGGATCACAGGCAGCCACATCACAGATGTTAAGTCCAGAGATGTCCTTAAGAGCATCTCATCATCACCACACTATTAGTCACAAAGCAACCCCTTGCGGTGCAAAAGCAACCAAAAGCCTCAAATGCCATGCTGTGCCCCAAGAAAGGGCAGGAGAGACAACAGTGCCACAAGTGCCCAGGTCCCCGGCAATGGC